AAACAATGGGCCCCGCGCGCAGCGCCAGCCTTTTCCCAGCTAAAGGGCGAGGCGAGTCCAGATTTCGTTCGCAGCGCCCGAGCCCGGCACCCGCAGCAACGGAAACAACGGCCCTGGGGGAGAGACAGAGAACCGGCCGGAGAAATATAAAGAAAACAGGCCGCGCGACGGGAGCCACCACGCCATTACTTCGGCGCCCCGCCCCGCCCCGCCCTCCTCCAACCGCCACCCCCCCTCCCCCCGATCTCGCCGCGCGATCTCCGACCGCCCGCCGAGCCCCCGCGGGAGGAGCTTCGAGCCCGCGCCCCCGGCGTCCCATGGTGGGTCCGGCACATCGGGGCCGCGAGATCTAGGGTTTTCGCGCCGCGGCGGGAGCGATGGGGCGCCGGAAGGCCACGGCGGCGGGGCCGGCTCGGGGCTCCTCGAGGGCCGACCACGGCGTAATCTCCGGTGAGATCCGCGCCTCCGTTTTTTCTCTTTGCGTGTGTCGTGGTGCCAATGCGTTGCCAATCTTCTGGATCGAAGCTAGCTGCTACCGGCCGTAATCGTAGTTGGATTTGGAATGGGGCTGTAGCTGTCCGGCTGAGCTGGGGCGGGGATGCCCGCGGAGGGCAAGTGCTAGACGTCAGCTATTTGTCAGTGTTAGCATGGTGATGTCATTTATTAGCAGGATGCCAATTTGCTCGGATTTAAATGTGGCCTGCGCACTGTCACATAGCGTGTACGTGGTACATCATGATTTTGTTTTATCAGCGTTTGTGAGCGCAGAGTTTCAGTATGAACCTGCACATTATGTGTGCACATGCGCTATTATAGCTGCATATATTTGAGTAATGAGGTAGAAGTGTTAAAAGAAAAATCACACTCGTATTTTATGGAAAGTTAGTATATATACTCTGATTGGATGTCTGTTTCCTTCAGTACTTGATACATCAAGTTTGTATCTGAGGCGAAGCATTAATTTAGGATCACGGGAACGGGAGTCAGTGATTTACAGGCGGCTGGCAGCCCACCTAGGCACTAGGAGCCACCCTCTCGCATTGCCGCCTAGGTGCCTGTGGCCTTAGCTCACATACGTGCTAAGCGGGGTACCATGCAGCATCATTTCACTTGTGATAAAACCTGGTTGCACTGCAAATGACTTTGTTACAACTCAAACCAATGTGTTCATAATTTGACAACCATTTTGTGGTTTCTTCGATTCAGTGACGTCTAGCATGGAATGCTGGATATCTAAGTTGGTTCTGAATTCCATACCATTAAATTTTTTGAACTTGGCTGCATTGCAAATACTCAAACCAGAGAAAAGCTAATCAAGTCCTTCCAATTTACTATTTGGTTGCATGTGACTACTATATCATGTTAAAGAGCTTTGCCATGTCTACTTCTCAACTGCTGTGCCTGTATCGTTCCTCCTTACATAGCAAATCAACTTGTGAGTTCAAAATAAAGTTTACATTCCATTTATCTAATGACTGGCTAGACAAATAATTTTCTGTCTGGTTAATGAAAAAACCGTTTACATTCCATTTATCTTCTTTGTTGACTCAAAATCTGCCAGCTTGGTATCTTCTACCCGATACATGTTGCTTTAGTTAGATCCGTCATAGTAACACGGCTTCTTAAAGTTGGGTATTGTATTTAACAAATTTGAAGTTGACATACTGTGTTTTGTATCCTAACTGTTTGTTTATTTTCAGAAATCCGGGAGAAACATAAATTGGAATTGGAGAATTTGACGCTGACAAAGCACCCATTCAGGACATTGCACTTCTTCAATTTAGCTATGTTGCAATACTTGAAAAGATCAGTAGCATATATCCTGAGTAAAAGAGCTTTGTTTGTTCTCCTAATTGTTATGGTGGTAATTCCTGGAGTTGCACTTCTGGTTACCGATGGTCTGCACAAAAAGGTGTGGGCAACTTTACTACATTTGTGGAGTATACTGACATAATAACAGTTGATAGTGCATTTTGTAAACTACATGAGTGCTAACGTTTGTTTTCTGATTTCTATGCAGCATGTGCAGGAGTTCCTTAATTATGCTAGATTTGTGTTGTGGTGGGTTTCATTAGGTGTGGCCTCTTCAATCGGACTAGGCAAGTGTCATTAACTTCTCTCAAGATTATGTAGTGTGATCACATATAATAAAGGAGGCGCAAATGAATCATGTGTTAACATAGTTAATTTATCCTTTTTGTCCTACAAATACTTTACCTTTTATAGCTAAACAGTTAAACCATACCGTCTGGTGGCTGAAGCATCTAGTGAACATGAACCAGCTCGCTAGAAACTATTTTTTAAAGTTGGCACATCCTTTATTTTTAGTTATAATATCATTAGTTATTTCTGTGTTAGTAAAAAGTAAATACCAGCAGCAAAATTATAATATATGGACCTTATTTGACCTTGAGAAAAAAAGGCTAAAGGTCCGCGAAAATTGGAGAGCTGTATTGCCAAGTTGTATAGTAGAAGTTAGAAGTTCTGACATTTTAGGGTGTTGGGTTTAAGTTTTTGCAGTGACTGTGTGTGGCACTAAGACATCTTGGAGGTTGACTACCTCATGATATATCACTAATATCGTGCTCTTTTGCACCCAAAGAAAGACACTGTTACCATATTCATGTTTCTAGCAGAATATGTGGATATTTGGAATTGTCAGATGGTTTTGAGACATTATTTAGGCAAAATGTCAGAACAATATTTGGTCATCTTAGAGACTTAGGCATGATAAACCAACTATAAGTTACTTTTGTATACTTTCTTAGTTAGCAGTTGTCTTGTGCTGTAGTACATGATAGGTTCCCCTTTATCATATGCCAAGACATGTAACAATGAATGCTGCCAAGTGTTAAATTTGGAAAATAGAACTTTGAAGTTTATTTGTTTGCCTGGAGTAAGGAGTTCGTTTTTGAAAATTGATGGATTAGTATTTGAAATGCAGGTTCAGGTTTGCATACCTTTGTGCTGTATCTTGGGCCCCACATTGCTCTCTTCACTATTAAGGCTGTTCAATGTGGCCGTGTTGATTTGAAGACCGCTCCATATGATACCATACTGCTTAAACAGGCGCCATCATGGCTTGACAAGAAGTGTTCGGAATTTGGATCGCCCATGTACCCTTCATCAGATCATTCAGTGATGATCCCAGTTATTGATTTACTCCCTCAGGTTCAGCTGGAAGCTGTTCTTTGGGGTATCGGGACAGCACTTGGCGAGCTCCCTCCTTATTTTATATCACGAGCTGGTAATTGTTGAATGCATTTTGTTCTGAAGTAATTGTGATATTCTGTTAGATACTTTAGAGCTGTACAGTATATTATATTCAATCTATGTGCAGATAATATTAGTTCTTTCTGTATTGTTTCTTAACTGATTTCCCTTGAACACTACCTGTAGCGCCTACTTTTTACTGTACTATGTAACATGTGTGTGTGCCATCAGCCCATCATTATTATATCCATTTAGCTTTTGTCCCTACAAACATCATAAAAACATTCATCGACATTGTCAATCTGCAAACATCATAAAAACATCATTGTCTCACATAGAGAACGGGCCGAGCGGCGTAACAAAAATAAAAAAGGACAGCTCCATGTAGAGAAGTTGTGCTGCTGTGGAAGCTAATCAGCACGAAACTATAACATTCATATATAATTAGCTTCATTGGGGAGTGGTTGTTACAGACACTCATCGACACTGACTGATGCTGACGAAACTGAACAAAACACTAGTTCAACAGGGATAAGATGCAACAGGGGGTGAGTACAAAAACTCAATCTGCATCTGGTGGACTCCTAACGATAACACACGCTCCCAGATCCTACACACACTTTTGTCTACTGGGTGTTCGCACCCAGGTACATTAGCAGCACAATACTAGTATGGTGGCCATCAGGTTGGTGCACGCTATCAGTAGACTAGCAGCAGCCATGACTTGGGATGATCGGCCTAGAACGTGATCTGTGTGCAGATCTGCTGGCATGTGCGCGGCAAGCCTGCTGGTTGACGTGTGGTGCTGAGTGGCATTGGGGGTTGTAGCCCTTGTGATCTGGACAGCGGGATCCAGGCGTGTGGGGCGTGCGTTGGGAGTACCGCCGGCGCTGGGAATCTTGCTCGGCATCCTCTGACGAGAGCACGAGCGACTGCGGGGACGGCTAGACAGAGGAGTGGCGGGGTGGGGCAGAGCAGAGGGAGGCGGGGGAGGAACGCGTCTACCCAGCACCAACAGGATCCATGTCGTTGTCGCCGGAGTAGGGCGGCGTCGGAAGGCGGGGGAGGAACGCGTCTACCCAGCACCAACAGGATCCATGTCGTCGTAGCCGGAGTAGGGTGGCGTCGGGAGGCGCGGGCGGCGGTGACGGGGAAACCCTATTTCACAGGAGGAGAGGGCCGAGAGGATCGTTCGGGTTGATACATGGGGGGATAAGGGCAGTGGCATTTCCTTCGTAATTGTGCGCAAGTGGGAGGACAAGGGGATATACCGGTTTGTTAAGTGACTGCTCGCAGGAAGCTGCTAAATTTGACAATAAGCTGCTAAAAGCCACAAAATAACTGGCCCTTTATTGTTGGTAAACAGTACTGGTTTCATTCTCAGTAGTGAGATACAATACAACTTCTGAGACTGTTTGTTACTATAGTCGTGTCTTATGAAACTCTCTTTATTCTTGTTTGTTCTCTTTCCTTGCATGCTGGAGTTGATTATTTAAGGGCTATTTATATGGTCGAATGTTAAACTCTAGAAATTATTTTGTAGCAAACCATAGCTTGCGCGTTCTTGAAATCTGCAACCTTCTTATCTCAAGGTTCATTTTTTAAGCTGTCCATACTGAGCAAATGATCTCTGATGTTGCAGCTCGTTTGTCAGGAAGTGAGTTAGAAGCTGTCAAGGAGCTAGATGTTGCTCCTTCGTCAGAAGATGGTCCAATAGCATCCACTGTGAATCGTACAAAACGCTGGCTGCTTTCTCACTCACAACATCTCAACTTCTTCACTATCTTGATACTTGCTTCGGTTAGTCTTTGTCCTGTCTGAATCTTTGAATACCGATTTCTTACACAAAAAAGTAGATGCAGAATTTTGCTTTGGCAGTATATCGTTAATGCAGCTCTTGCAGGCTTCGGCCCTAATTTTTCTATTTGGTGCCAAAATATGCTAATTGGACATTTTTTATACCAAAATGAACACATGTAACTAGTTCCAAGTATGGATATATAATGCATCATGTAACTTATATTCTTTTTGTTTACTAGGTTCCAAACCCTCTGTTTGACCTTGCTGGTATTATGTGTGGTCAATTTGGTATACCCTTCTGGGAATTCTTCTTTGCAACGTTGATCGGGAAGGCCATCATCAAGACTCATATTCAGGTTTGTGATCTATACATTTTATTGAAAATCCTGGCATTAATTTGTGTTTCTCTTGGTACCACATGCTTATTTTTTCTCTTGGTCTGCTAGTGATTTGGTATGCCAGTCTGCTTTCAGATCCTATGAGATAATCATGTATTAACTTCATCATTTTAATATATTCTTAGGCATACTTTATGTGATCTGTCTTTTCGGTTCTGTCCAGTTAGAACCAAAATCTTGAAATCTTACAAGCTACCCTTACAACCCATGCAAAATCGTAGTTGCAACCTACATGGCTACATTGATTATTCTGTGTGATCTCTGCAGAGATTTCACTCAAATACTATCTTTACTGTTATCAAATAATAATGTCATTAATGCTTGCATCAAAAGTACATGATGTACCTGCCATACCAATTGCTGTTTCTTTTTAAATTTTGATTTTTATTCTTACCTTGTTTTATTCTTTCCTCACAACAGAACAAACAAACTATGAGTGATACAATTTTGCTTCTTTTTGTGCTCCTATTCTTCCTGAAAATCAAACGAACTTAGGTGGAAAACTATCAATTTTCTACTATGTTGAACTGAGCTTCTTATCATTTTGGTTTATTGTCAGTTTGACACCTTATTTATCTGGTTGGATTGAAATGAATATTTGCAGTCTCTCTGTACTGACACATGAGTTGTACCCTCTCACTTCTGCAGACACTGTTTATCATCTCGTTATGCAACAACCAACTCTTGTATTTTCTGGAAAAGGAGTTGATCTGGATATTTGATCACATACCTGGGTTTTCAGCAACCCTGCCATCTGTAATTGCCAAACTCCACAGTGCTAAGGAGAAGTATTTATCACCACCTGTGTCAGTCTCACCTTCTTCACAAATGGAGGTTGGTATCTTCATTTTCATGTCATTTGAGCTCTCCAGACTTATTGTTTGTGTCTCCATTAATCAACGTTCGTACTTTAATCTTCAGTTTTTTCTTGCCTGTTCATTGATGTTCTGTAACTGTCATGTGTACAGGATAAACAGTGGAATTTCTCTTTTGCGTTGGTCTGGAACACTGTAGTCTGGCTTGTGCTTGTGAACTTCTTCATTAAGATCGTCACATCAACAGCTCAGGATTATCGCAAAAGGCAGCAGGACATAGAGATGGAGCTCATTACTGATTCCTCACCCCAGAATCATTCTAAAACTAACTAACAGCAAACATGGTTGTATTTATTCAGCTGCACATTGCGAATATTCTCCTTAGTAGCCTTTGCGCCTGGCTAAGCCCTTGCGGATGATCCCAATGCTGGTAGAAGTTGTGTTCTTCTGTACAGTGAACAGAAACATGGGCCTCTCCAACCCGCCACAAAAGTGATGGCTGCGACTTTTTGTCATTGCGCCTCTACTGGCAGTTCCTGGAGGAGAATCAGTCCTGTTATTTTTCAGGCGCCAAGTTGGATGAACTTTAGGGATTGTTTGTTTGTTTAGCACGATTTCATTACTAAGATGTAATTTACCAGTACCTTTTTTACCTTCTTATGTTGGAAATACGGTAGCTGATAGGGCACCCGAGAGGATTCAAAGGTGATATGTTTTATTGTTACATTCACAATGCAAATGCATATTCTCAATTGGAGCCAGCTAGATTTAACGGAGCACTTCAACTACAAGTTCACCCTGGCAAATAATAAAGCCGCTGATACCAAGATTGCCTTTGTTTTTTTTTGGGCGGGGATCTGCATCACGTCGTCGATTCGAAAACTGTGTCAGAAGTTGTTACCTTGTGACTAGCTCAGGCTGGGAAACTTGTGATTCTCAGCAATCACGTTATCTTTTGCAAGCTCCTTGGCTTGTAGCTTTGTGGTTATTAAGCAAAGCGGACGCATCTGAAGGTCAGTCAGGGAGGTGAAAGGCGAGGTGCGATTACACATCATCAGCAGATAAAAATGCTACTGTACTGCAACCTCTTTACACCCGCCCAAGTGTTGCCAATGCAACAGAGATGGTCGTGGGCAGTTGTCCGAGTTCGCTTGGGCGTGCTCGCTAGTGGAATCCAGCGAGCGCCGTGCACCACGTAAGTTGGAGCACACGCGGGGCAAATTCCGTAGATACTCGAGCACGCGACTCCAAGGCGCGTCCTCGTGTACATTGCCTTTCACAAAGACGATCTCTACTGCCACGAGACGAGAGAGCAGCGATTTCTAAGATGGAGGAGACAAAAGCCAGACTACTCGCACGGCACGATGAATTGTCATGCCTACCTCTACGTTTCTTCCAAATTTGTTGCTATTTATATGCCTACACGACCCGGCTAGGGACCGCCGAGCGCCGAGGAGTACTCAGAACCGGGGAGGGACCCCCTCGCCGTCGCGGGCACGTCATTCGCCGGTGGAAAAAAGGCGTTCGTCATCTAGCACCATCGCAACCGCGCAACAGACGTCTCCCATCCGGCCATCCCATCATCAAAGTGAAGTTCACCTCGGTTCGGACTTGAGAGTTCAGACTCCTCCCGGCTCCCGCAGCCGCAAGCGAAGCCGAAGGCCGAGGCCACCCACCCCCCTGCCCTGCCCTCCATATATTAACGGGACGGCGGCAACGACAAAGCATAGTATACTAGCGCCCCCACTAGCCTAAGCCCCGAGCCTCCAATCCGCCACCGGAGACCGGAGCAAGCGCGGCTAGCGAGCGAGGAGGAGAGCCCGGCGCGCATGGCGGCGGCGGCGGGCAATGTGGAGTTCATCCGCGCGCGCAGCGACAAGCGGGAGTACCGCCGCCTGCTGCTCCCCAACGCGCTCGAGTGCCTCCTCATCAGCGACGCCGACACCGACAAGGTCCGCCCCGGCCCGCCCTCTCTCGCTCGCTGAATGCTCGCCGGTTGGTCGACGTTTTACCGCGCGTGATTCATCCGGCGTTGTTGTTGTTTGTGCGCAGGCGGCGGCGTGTATGGAGGTCGGCGTGGGCTCGTTCAGCGACCCGGAGGGGCTCGAGGGCCTCGCGCACTTCCTCGGTGAGTCCATTCACTCCCCTCCCCTCTCCGTCCACTCTCCTCGCCGTCGGCCATCTCCACACCGTGGCTCCGATTCCGGTTCGTTGCGCGGGCGCGCGTGATCTAACAAACCCACCGGATTCCTGGGGCGAGTACTAGTACTTTCTGGCCAGGCAGTGGTTGGTTGGATGGGGATTGTTCGCTGGACCCAGCGCAGCGCTCCTGCTCTCCGACTGCGCAACGGCGTCGGCGTCAGATGAATCTCCTCCCCCTTTTGGGATCCGGCTGGGGTCTCCTCCAGTTTTGTCTCCATGGAATGGAGTGACGGAGGAATGCTTCCTTCCTTGGCCACTTTTCCCCCATTGGGCAGTGCCTTGCTGCTTTAGGCGTTCCTGAGCACCAATGATGGCGTTGCAGATTTGCGGCCAGGTCAATGGATGTTTTTCCCTTTTCCAATCGAAAAGCTGATTGAATGAATCGGCCCATTGATTTGGTCCAGTCAGTGTCGCCGGCGTGTTTTCACCGTCGGATCACGCCATTGACTGACGGTTCGGACTAAAGTTCAGAGCATCCATGATTGATCTCAGTGGTGCGGGCATCGGGCCGTACATGTTCTGCCTTCGCCGGTAGCAGAGTACGAGTGTACGACTGCCGGCTAGCTGAATGTCTTTCTTAAATGCTTCTCAGGTTTCCAGCCAAGAATCATTGATAACGTCAGTACCATGTGTTGCACATAATTCTGCATTTCTGCGTTTATTGAGCGTTCCAAGAGTTTCATGCGAGACACGAATTTGGTTGGGCGGGCTCCACCGCTCCTGCAGGATATGGGAACCTGTCGCTCTCTAGATTAGCAGCCTGCTCTGCTCAACGTCCCATACACGTTGTTGCCTAGTAGGATCCCTGCAGCTTGCTGGATGCTCTCACTCCACGAGTCCGTGTTGGTATTTTCTCTGGCGTGTGAAATTCTACCCGTGGTAACAGCACAAGATAATTCTACTCGACACAGGCCCTCCTTACAACACGCAGGACAGTGCCAGTTTATGATAGAGAGAGTGGGCCATTTTTGCTTCACAACTTCTAAATTCGACGAGTGTAAGTATAGAGTAGTAAACCATTTGTATGTAGGAGACGATTAGCACGATGAATGTTGGTCGCATCAAATCAAAACTGATTTTCTCTTTAGCATTTTTCTTCTTCTGTTTTCTGTTTGTTTTGATTTATCACCATGGACTTGCTTGCAGAGCATATGCTGTTTTATGCCAGCGAGAAATACCCTGGAGAACAAGATTATACAAAATATATCTCGGAGGTACCTCTTCTCATTTTGCATATGTTTGCTTGCAATTACTACTCACGTTAATTCCAGGTTTGTAAGAGTTTGAACCAGGTTTACCCTCTCCGCGTGCATCATATTAGATGATTCTGGGCCAATAAAAAAATTACACATTAGAGAACAGGTGAAAGGAATATGCATGTTAGACTATGGTAGGTGCCAGTGTGCCAGTGGCTTATGACTGATATCAGCGCTTTACAATTTACATTGTGCAAGGAAATTTACGCTTGTACAATAGGCCACCTCCTATTCCATTGTGATGACCAAATGATACCTACTTGCCATAAACTGTGGTTATGCGTAGGCCGAGCTGTTAACTGCCACACTCTTAATCAAATACACCTAACTCTGAAGGCTTAAGCTTAAGTGCATGCTATTGCCAGTTGCCAATATGCACTATGGTGTTGTGGTGCCAATACATGGCAGGACGAATGCTATGCATAAAATATCACTAATATTCCGACTGGGAACAACTTTGTGGTCCTATCATAAGCTTGTAAAGGGTTCAATGATTTTATTTCTGGGATCCGTCAATATAATTATTTGATACCAGCTTAAATATTCTATTTCGTGTGCTTTGGAAGTTACATTGAGTGTACTTGGATTATAAGTTTTTTTGAGTATTTGGCATGTCGTGAAAAATATCAGCACGGTGGTTCTTCCAATGCCTTTACATCCTCCGAGACAACGAATTTCTATTTTGATGTTAACGCGGACAATTTCGAAGAAGCCTTAGATAGGTAACTTTCTTAGTAGTATTTTCTTCAGTTAATGCATGCACATTGAATCAGGTTGTGATTTCTGTTGTGCAGATTTGCATGATTCTTTATAAAACAATAAATAAGTAGGTGATTTGTGTTGCGCAGATTTGCCCAGTTCTTCATTAAGCCACTGATGTCGCAGGATGCTGTTCTTAGAGAGATCAAGGCTGTTGATTCTGGTGAGCAGTTGCTTTATACATTCTAGTGCTATTTGCTTCTAACATAACTTTTAGCTTATCACAATTACTTTATGTTTATGTTTTATTTGGAGTAGTAAGAACTAAGAAACACATTGTGGATAATGTTATATTTCATTGTTCTCACAGAACACAAGAAAAATCTGTTGTCAGATGGCTGGAGAATGCATCAGGTACTTCAGAGTCTCAACCTTCTTAGTTAGATACATGTGATATTCTTTCGTGCAATAATGTCATATCTGCATCAGAAACTGCGTTATGAATATTTGTTCTTTTCATACAATCATATTTGGCATGATATACCAAAAAAGACTTTCGCCCTGCTTTATATATAAAGCCAATTTGGCATGATATAAGCCGGGCTTATACTCACTTACTCAGAATGCCAGTTTATTTTCAAATTAACCATATTTGGCATGATCTTAGCCTGATTTATCATCATCCTGTATATCCTGTTAGCCCTGCTGCACTGTTAGTCTGTTACTTCATTTTTGAGTATTTTTTTTCACAGCTTCAAAAGCATCTGGCCTCAAAGGATCATCCTTACCATAAATTCAGTACGGGTAAGCAATTGTTGGTATTCAGACATTGCTAATACTCATCCAGCTAATTATGGTTGTTGTTTTGTATTACTGTATAAGTGAGTATGCAAATCAATATGACGTCTGAGTATTCCTGTGTTCTAACCCTTAATATGTTTCTACCAGATTCAGAGATCACGCTTTTTTAATTCACATACAAATGCTAACAAAAATCATGTATATTTTTTAAAAATCTTGTTGTGCATGCCTAATATACAATCTCCTTCCGGAATTTGCATCTTATTTGAAATTATGTTATTTAATGCATTAGGAAGTTGGGAAACACTGGAAACTAAACCAAAAGAGAGGGGTTTGGACATCAGGCTTGAGCTTCTCAAGTTTTACGAGAATTAT